TACGGAGCGGAGACCTGGACGGTGTACACGATGCAGGCACGTCGACTAAACCACTTCCACCTCAGCTGTCTCCGTCGCATCCAGAGGCTGAACTGGCGGGACCGCATCCCCGACACCGAAGTGCTGGAACGGACGGGAATTCTGAGCATCTACTCCATGTTGAGACAAATGCAGCTGCGCTGGAGCGGCCATCTGGTGCGCATGGATGACGAGCGACTACCCAAACGACTCTTCTACGGAGACGTCGCGACGGGTTCTCGTCGTCAAGGAGGCCAAATTCGCCGTTACAAAGATACTCTGAAGTCCTCCCTGAAGCGCCTGCACATCAACCCGACCAACTGGGAAGAGCTCGCCCGCGATCGTCCGACATGGAGGAGAACAGTGAAGGCGGGCGCTGCTATCTACGAAGCCAACCGCATCGCCGCCGCCAAAGTGAAACGCGAAGTCCGCAAATCACAACTTCGCCCAATACGCGACGCCGCCGCACAACCTCTCCCTACGTGTCCTCGATGTCAACGGACATTCCGGGCACGAATCGGACTTGTTGGACATCTTCGAACCAACTGCACCTCCCGAACTGCTCCAGCCATCGTCCCCGCGCCCGCCTCTTCCTCGTCCTCTCTTCCGCCAACTAACTCTGACACTCCTTCTGCACCACCACTTCCATCCTCCTCCTTCTCCTCCACTGCCCCAGCGGTGGCCGTTCAGGCTGCCGTCTCACACATCGCCAACCACGACACAGCAACCGCAACCACCCCCACCTGCCCTCACTGCGACCGCACCTTCACCTCACACAACGGCCTGGTCGGTCACTTGCGAATCCATCGCACAGAGACTGGTGAACCAGTGTCTGGAGCACCAACCTACACCCACCGCACTCGCCTCCACTGCCCACAATGCCCTCGCACCTTCCGGCATCGCATGGGCCTATTCGGCCACATGCGCATCCACGAGAGCGGAATTGACCGCAGCCTTGACACACCCACCCCGCCGAGCCCCACTCCCAATCCATCACCTTGTGCACCCACTAACCACTCCCCAGCCGACATCGACGCCACCGACCTTACCACCCCTCACTCCCCCCCCTTCCTCCTCCACTTCCTCCTTCACTGCCACAACGACGGCCACTCCGGCATCTGTAGCGCACGACTTCACCACAGCCGCACCTGACACAACAACGGGCACAACCCCTGCAACCTCCATCAACAGATGTGAGGGCCCGGACTACATCTGCCCTCACTGCGATCGCACCTTCACTCCACGCATCGGCCTGGTCGGTCACTTGCGAATCCATCGCACAGAGTCTGGCGAACCAGTGCCTGGAGCACCAACCTACACTCACCGCACTCGCCTTCACTGCCCACACTGCCCTCGCACCTTCACGCATCGCATGGGTCTATTCGGCCACATGCGCATCCACGAGAGCGGCATTGACCGCAATTCCGATACAGCCACGACATCCAACACGCCCAGACCCATCCTCGCCCCACCGTCACACGCGCCGACCACCACCACTGCCACCACCAACACCACTGCTTCCTCTACAGCTGACACTGACACCGCCGACTTCTCATGTCAACACTGTCCACGTACATTCACTTCGCGCATCGGCCTGGTCGGTCACTTGCGAAGCCATCGCACAGAGACTGGCGAACCAGTGCCTGGAGCACCAACCTACACCCACCGCACTCGCCTCCACTGCCCACACTGCCCTCGCACCTTCACGCATCGCATGGGTCTATTCGGCCACATGCGCATCCACAACGACCTGCGGTAGACAACCGCCGGTCACACCACACATTCCCTCACTCCCTACCTCCTAACATCATCACCCCACTAGACGTCAACCCTCACACACCTCATGCACTCAACTGCCGCCTCCCACGCAAGTGGGAAGTGTGCATCTCGACTCGGTCCCCATGCGGCCTCGGCTGCACGAGTGACTTGAGTCCGAGACTATCCCGACACGTCAAGTGTCGTGGATAGGAAGGTTGCTGATTGACGCCCGTTCTCGGTTCACGCAGTTCGTCACGTTGTGTGTGTGTGTGTCTGTTGTGTAGTGGCGGACTGGTGGGCTGGGGACGGGCTGAAGCAGCACCTTCCACGGCCCTCTCACGCATGTGAGAGACACGCCGTTCAACCCCCGTTGTGTGAAATCCTGGTGTTTGTGTGTATGGGGGGCCAGGTCGTGCTGTGGCGCGCGCAGGCATGGTCAGTCGACCATGTCAGCCACCGCGCCCATTCCCCACTCCAGTCTACTGACCGGCTCGGACAGTGGCCTGGGTGTGGGAATGGGAAGGAAGAGTGAGGTCGACGACTCAGCGCATTTTCCTCACTATAAACAATCTGACGCGCTTGAAGCTATCACGGTGCGCTAAAAGCCGTGGCTTGGAAGGTTGCCAACTGACGGGGTACCTTGGACCTCCTCCATTACTGGAGGCGGTCTGAGAGTCAGGCTGCAATGGCTCCTTTTTAATGTGGCCTTTATGGCATTCCCACCACAGTGTGGGATCCGAGCCAGGCGTTGGCGGCACGCCCAGGTGCGGCTTCGGCCGTGCCAGCCTCCAAATCTATGTTGTGTTGGTTCAAATCCTGGTTATTGTTGTGTGGACCAGGGGGTGTGGTGGAACGCCAAGGCGAGGATCCGTCCGAGCCATCCACCTGCGGCCTCCCTCGTCTCCGGTCTTCTTGACTCTGTCTTGACACCGGGCCCAGGCGGGGGAGGAGGAGAGAGTGTAGGTAGATGCTCCGCAAGTCTACTGCGTAAGTCACCACCCCTGCTCCCACCGCTGCTGCAGCTGTGGGGCACACGGTGGACATCGTCGAAATCGACGGTCGAACTGTCAAGTGCATGTGGTCTACTAGAAACTGCAAGCACAACAGCTTATGCCGATCAATAGGAGAGGATCAATCCTTCCATACCCCAACGCAAGAGTGACCTCGCGAAAACTGTACGGCCTCGGTACGACACCTACCGCATCCGTCACATCTGATATATACTGCACCAACAGACCATCATTCTTTCCACTCTTTCGACTACTTCTTCAACCGGAAACATTCATGAAAATAAATGGACCTCTAAAATGCCTTCCCGAAATACGTTATCGGTTAGGAAATAATGTGAATGAAAGGAGCCAGACTGCAATGGTGTTTTGGGCATAACGCAATTATTTTGAACCTACTAATTGAATGTTAAAAGTGGATACATCGAAACCGCGGCGAATTTCAATATGACCCGGTATATCATATTTAATGTTTTTAGTCCAAACTCCTAGCAAGTAGTAGTTGCTTTTTAGTTTAGAAAGCAAGGTTCAGGAGAACTTGCACATTGAAAACTTAGTCAAC